TATTTTTAGGGTACATACTAATTAAAAAATATACAAATTATCATTACAAATAGTGGAAATTCCTTATCTTTCCCATTCTTACACTGACATTTATATTTAAATTTATTTTAGGTAGAGTAAACATATTCTTTTTCCATTTACGTTAAAAATTATTTTCATATTTTAAACAAAAGCGACAGTAAATGACACTGGTAAAAACTTGTTTGATATATTTTTTTGTTTATTCGAATTTGTTTATTTGTAATTGTCATAAATTAACGATAATATAAATTTAATATGTTATGAACATATCTTAAAATAAAAAACATTAATTAGATTAGACCTTTTTGTATAAAGTTATCTTTGAGACCCAACTAGCATGAAGCCTAAAAATTGATTCACTTTTTTAAAAAGGATATTTTTTTTTTTAAAAGACCCATAGTTGTCGCAAATTGTCCGGGTGGTATTATAATATCCATGCAGTGGCGCAACTACCTGGGGGGTGATGTGAGTATGTATGCATATATACCCCTTACCTCCACAAGAATCTTTTTTTTACTGTATTAACTTGTGTTTAGTTTAAATTAAATACAAAATATTATTTGCTTTTTAAATTCTCGTTAGTTGTGACAAATATGAAATATATATATATATATATCAACCCTCATTAATTTTTAACACAATTAATCGTAATATGATTATGTTTTGATAAGAATATTAGTAGATATAGTAAGAAATAGAAAAATTAAATTTTTTTAGTAAATATAAGAATTTCTGCAGAGTATTGTCATCACGTGATATAATATTGAATTATTTCATGTACATGATGTGTTGATTAAATGTTTACAAAGCGGATGATAATCTCCCCGTGTTTCACCAATGCTTAGGTTGGGGATGGCGTCCCCTAAAGACGGATAAAGATAAATTTCACTCTGTAGTTGTCCTTATTTGTTCACAGATATGGCTATTCGTGCCTACAGGCAAGCACAACTGCGTTTACAACAATACATAATTTATGTATACAGCGGGTATTTTAAATTTTACGTTTTAAAATTGGGGAGGAATATATTATAACACGTACCTACCAATTTATTTAAGAACATTAAGAGCTCGACGCGTAATTCACATAATTTTTGTCACATGACATTTTTAACTGAGTCTCATAAGTATATTTGAGCGTATAATATACTTTAATGTTATGTGTATAGATATACAAATATACAAAGTGATGCGCTAAACACCTCCTTTGATCCTTTAATAAAGTGATTTCTTAGTTGTAGTCTTTGGAATTTTCAAAAAATACTGATTGGTCATTATTATCAAATACTTGGAATTTTTTTATCATTTAAGAAGCATCCCTGTCTCTTGTAATGGTATAATTTTTTTTTTTTTTTAACGAAAACTACTCTTATATTAACCGCTATAAATTGTTAAGCAGATAATTTTTTTGAAAATATAGATGTATCTCAATCGAAATTCGAACGAGCATTTTCTGAGTAAGGTATTTGAAATATTTGTATGCATTATTACAAGATAATTGACATTTAAAAATATTATGATCTAAGCATTTAATTTAAAAGTTCTGAAAATCAAAATTCGAAAATATTCTTATTTGAGGGGAGAATATAGGCGAGCATAGGGTTTGACCTTTCCGGGAACGTAACTTAGTAAAAATGTTCAAAAATTACCAAGAATATTGTAAAATTGTCGATAATCATTATATGTTATCAAAATGACGTAATTTAAGTATATATTCAAATTGTTTATGGTTAGTGTGTTAAGTACCTATATGGCTATATGTTTATATACATACATAAATAACACCATTTCATACTTTAACGCTAACATGTACATCACACAGTACATACCAAAAATTTCAAAAATGATTTAATTTTAACTTGCTGACGACTTATTTAAATCAACTGTAAAAGATTAGGAAATTATTTCAACAAGCAACAGCCGATTAAACTTGTTAGCTTATTGAATTCATTAAATATTAAGAAAAAATGTAAGTTAAAAAAAAAGTTATAAAAACTAGTCAATCCTCCCGAAAGGAAGGGTCCCGACGGCTTTGCAATATTGAATATAATATAATACCGTGCAGGCTTTATTGCGCTTTTATCTTTAGTGTGCGGACGCGTGTGTTTTACGACTTACAAACTGTGCACAATATATTATACGCGTACGATAATATTCAGTGGCGGCGGACAATATATGACATAATACCGTCACCGTATAAAGACAATACGTATTATACGTATGAAAGCCGATCACTGGCCGGTAAAGCGCTGCAGCAGGGACGAGACCGGCGGTGCATATTATGATGGTTGATCGGCGTAATGTATGTATCGACACGAAGGAATATTGTACGGTCGTCACTCGTCAGCAGCTTCAACAGCAGCGGCAGTGGCGTTGGTGCTGGCGCGCGTATATAATAATAATAATATTGTACAGAGTGATTCACCTAGTGTGTTCACCTCCATTTTTCCTCTACATCACGTGGAATTCGGTCAAACGCTGATTTTCGGAGTTTATAAGTCCGTAACACTGCTCGAGGTTCGTGTTTTCAAATAATCAAATTTTCTAAACGCACCGTTCAAGGAGTGCTTTAATACCGACTGATTTTTTTCCAAATCGAAAATCGACTTTCTTTTTTACATAAATCGTCAGATGAATATTTTGAAAATGTTAACGCATTTAACACGAAACTTCAACGGTTGGATTTTGAATTATTAAGCTTTATGTACGACACGGATAACAGCACCATTACAATAAAAAGATTTGGATTTTTCGGAAGAATTATGTGGCCTATATGATGATAATCTGAATTTTCCGAGACCATGTAAATATTAAATCCAATTAAATTACTTTTATTAAATTTAATTACTTTTAAAAACAATTAAATATTTACTAGATACCCTCATAAATAATTTAAAAATAACTCAAAAACGAATCGTTCAAATTTTGATTTAGATTTATCGACATCTTAAGAAAAAACAAAAATACAATCTGGTCAACAGTTTACAGTAAAAGAGATTGGTTTTCTTTGGAACAAAAAAATTAAAATTAAAGCTTATAAGTTATAACCGTAACGGGTAAGCATTTTTTACGCCATCAAATTCGCGGCATAGAGAAATCTCTGAATAATCGAAAATATCACAAAACGATGATCGAAAGTCGGGTAAATTCGTTGTTTGAGGCCTAAAATTGGTGGTAGAGCACTAGAGCGAACAACGTGGTTGGCAGCGGATCACCCTGTATACGTATATTATGTACCTCGCTAGAGCAGCTGCACCGAACGCCACGAAAACCGGGAAAAACGACGACGCGTCGGCAGGTGTTACCGGCGTATCGGCCCGGGAGCCACGTGCCCTGTGCGCGACAAGCCTAATTGATCGGAACCACCGCTGTATAATAATAATACGTATATTATGTATATATGTGTTATATATATATATTATAGAATTATAATATAGTTCTTCGGCGATACGCACCGAATGTCTCGTTTGCGATGAACCGCGTGCGCTCGAAAGCTTTTTACTTGAATTTTTTTCCACGTTTTTCAAACCTATGGCCTAGAAAAACGGACGAAAATAAACCACCAGACCTAATAATAACGATATAAATCACAGATTAGGTACGCGTTCGAAACGCCACGTTATACCATTTTGGGTGGGAGGGAGAGAGGGGCATTTTTATGATTTTTTTTTCTTTTATATAATTACTTCATCCTCGTCTGCGTAGTATCCGGCACTGACGCGTTTCATTTTATTTACGAGACAAAAAGCCAGGATTTTTAGATTTTTAATATAATGTATATACTATACAATATACATAAATATAATCTCCTCTGCCGCGGAGCGCTGGCAGACACTATTTAAAAAATATCCAGTTTGTTATTTTTATTAGTTATAAATTAGAAAAAAATTGTCCGCTCGCTGCACTATATACATTTACCAACTACTTTTATTGGTAGAGCTCAAGTTTTTATGAATCATGACATATTTTATTCGCTATGATCATTTATCTATTTCTAAGTACAGCAAAAATTGCATGTTTTACGATTTAGAACATCTATTTGAATATTTGTGTACAAATTACAAATCGATAACAAATCAAATTAATTATATTGTTTATTTAATTTTGTTCAAATATAATGTACCTAATTTTAATTTTTTACTAAAATATTAATATGTTTCAGAGTGTAGTTGGTAAAAGATTTGCTTTTTATATTTTAAATAAAAAATTTACCATGTATTAGACACTAATTGCCTACTTTAATGAATTATTAATATCAATTTATTGATCAATAAGTCGTTCATTTCTGAACTCAACTTATTAATAATTATAAGTCTAGAAACGTTGAATTTTTTTACATGTTTTTACTTTATAATTTTTTCAAACCATAAGATTACTTTTTATTTTTATTTTTATGATATGAAAGAACAAATTTCCTAGGTTTAATAATAGGTAAATCACTTTAAAATATTTAACGAGATAATACAAATAACTTAAAACACTGTAAAAATGAAAAATATAGCTTAGGAATAATATATATTGGAACCTACATAATGTGTTTTTTTTTACTGATTATTGTTATTTAATGTATAGTATTTATATAAGTATAAGTAAAAATTTATGAAAAAATTAAAAAATATTCTTACTAAAATAAATAAAAATTTATCAATTTCATATCTAATTAAAACATTTTTTTTAAAGTCTAAGATTAGAATCAATTGGTTTGTCTGTGTTTGGTAGCTGTTTATAATATTTTGGCACCACCTAAAATTTAGGCTTGGTATAACGTCTATGGTCGTTAGTTCAAAATGAATGTCCTACTCGCGACTCATAAGTTATTTAAATATACATATTCCCATTTGGCTTTGGGCCTCTAATATTGAAAAATATCCAACAACAACCGGCAATCGCTGAGTAGTCGGATAGGCCATACCACCACTGTTTGTCAGCAATAGCTGATGGACAAGATATATCAAGATGGAGTGAATTTATATAGAATAAACTTTTGGTCTAAAAGTGCTCGTTAAAATAATCATGAGACATGCAGATGTATATTGAACAGGCCTACAAGTATTTAAAGATGTGTAAGTAATAATAATAATAAATAAGTCTTATTGCTTAGTTCAGAAAAATATTTCTCCGTGTAGAATTAAAACTACTAAGACATTGAAAATGAACCGTTTTAAATATTGTTTTTTTTTTTTGTATATTTTAATTTAATTTTTTTTTTTATTTTTTGGTTTTTTTATAAAATATTACCACAAGATAATCGCATTTACCAGCAAAATCTGCTCATTTAAGTAAGTAGATAAAATGTTAAAATTTAATAATCTATTATTTTTTATTTTTTTATTTTTTTGAAATAAAATAAAATAAAAATTATTGGAAAAAAAACAAAATTTAAAATTATATTTTTCAGTAAATTATTTCTAATAGGCTATATCTGTAGTGATTATATTATATATTATGACCCTGTCATATTATACATGATATTTCACCACAGATACCTATTAGATATTGTATGTTTTTCATCCACCCGTTTGCATAATAGATATAAAATATAAGTATTTATATATATATTGAATAATTAACATGTTTTTTTTTAAATTTAAATATCATGTGGAATTTAAGTCCCTAAAATATATTTGATTATATATGCCTATGTGTACACATACCACCATGGTATCTACCTACTAAAAAATAATATGTATTGTACGTGAATAATAACATATGAAATCCTATTTGAAAACAACAAAACGGGAAATTTTATGAAAATATTCAACAAATATATTTGTATTAGTGTCCACGAATGGTACAACGTACAACATGAAAAAAGGTTTTTAACAATTTTTTTTTCTCATAGTGTGTTATATAGTGACCTGTAGATATAGATTTGTACGAACATTTTTCATCATCAGTTTCCACGAAAATCGACTAATGGTTGTGTACCTGGTAACTATTAACGTATTATGTACAAGACCATACGAATATTTTTTGAACGAATAGGTTTAATAACTATACTCATGTTTATAAAAAACAACAACATAGAGTTCAGAGAAACCGGGTGATGTTCATTTACCAAAATAAACAGCCATACGAGATAGGTACATACAAGTAGGTCTGCAATGTCATGATCTTGCTGAAGTCTAACCCATATATTAATAATGTGTACTATTTGTTATTATTATTATTATTATTTTTTAGGTGCCTTCGGCAGAAGTGGTCATTTGTATTAGTAATTCACAGGTATTTATTTGAATTGTATACTCAGTAGTGTACTGATGCTATTTGGGTTTTTTTTTTTTTTTTAATAGAGGTGCCGCCTAAACTTAAGCGAGTTAATTGTTCTTTATTCTTAAGCCACTTTTTCTTCATCATAGTAGCTAAATACTTATATTTTATGTGTATGTACACATATATATTATCTATGATGGGGTTAATATTATTATGAATAATGATCACCATTTATGAGGAAACTGGCGTTTTAAATATTTTAAACACATTATGTATCTTTCTATAAATATATATATATATAAAATAATTCATACATATTAAATTATTTTTCAATAACACTTATGTATTTGCAAATATTTTAGTAGATGTTTTTTAATCTGTAAATAAATACGTAATACTAAAATTATACATTTAATAGAACAAATAAAAAACAATTTTTTAACGTATAAAATAAACTTAAATAAAAAAAATAAATACAGAAACAAAAAAAAAATACTTATTAATATTTCTAAAAGTATTCGCTGTCTAGTGATATAAATTAAAATTTTATATTTTTTTGTGTTTTAACGTACAAGGTAATTGAGCTATTATTAAGTATCAATGAACACTAATTAAACCGTCAAATTACTGTAGATCATTTTAGATTTTAGCTCATTATATACAAATAATATAAGTAATTGATATAGAGTAAATAATTTTTATAGAATACATAATTAAATAAATATTTAAAAAAGCAATTTAAAGTATTTAGTACAGGCATAATGATCGTAACAAAAACCCTAACATACCACATAACAATATCGTAATAATTACTAATTAATAAAAATAAAAAATAAAATACTGACTAAAATATATTATTTTACGTTTATTAATTACAATTCAGTATTTAATTTAGTATACGTAACTTAAACTGAAGTAGGTACCTATTGTTTTATCGTTTACATTATACTTATAATTTACCTATATACGAGATGTATATCAAGGCTGGAGACGTTATACAATGCTTAAAATAAACTATTGAAATTATTTTATCGTTGTCCACGTGTATTTGAATTTTGAACGCTGCAATAATAAATTTTTATATCTCAAGTCCAAATTTATAAGAAATATAAAGTTTTAAGGTAACACCATAATATTATCTCTCAATTAAATTAAATTTTTTCTACATTCCTCATTAAGTATATTTCTAACTAACTTTAACATATTGTTATGACTAGCGTCTAGTAAAACTTGATGAAAAAAGCTAGATTATGTATCATTGATATCATCATAGACCATAATTATTTGCACCTATTCTAAAACCTAATGTTTTCATTTTTGAAAAGTTTGTTACACAACTATTACTAGTCACCTCATAGACTCTTAAACCAACTGCGCAGCAGTTAAGAAAATGGCAGATTTAATTATTAGTTCAGAATGAACTTCTCTATTATCTTTTAAAGTATACTTTATGAGTTCCTCTATATTTACCACTATCATTAAATATCACCATAAAATAAACTGGAGCTTTCGTGACAGTCTTATTTGTATACTCTTAGTATCTAAATGATTAGCAAAATCACAATACACAACTAATGATTTACTTTTAGAATTTCGTAATGCAACTTGATATTTTATACTCATTATTCATTAAATATAAAATTACACTGTTTATGAAAAGGTTTCTAGGGCACATTAAACTTCCTTGAAAAATACTGGCTCGTAGTTAATATAAAAAGTCCAATTCCATTTTGCAACAGTCACGTTTGAATGAGCTTATATATTGACCCAAAAAAAGTGAAATATTAGTGATAAAATATTATTAAGTTAAATTAAAAATTATTTAAAGTGCAACATTTAAATAGTATTTTTTTTAATTAGGTGAGTACTTGATGATATATACAATAAAAAATATGAATATTAGGTAGGTACTAACGCTGCACACAGCATTCATCAATTAGAAAAGTTGTTTTCCACGTTATTATATTGGTAGAGTGTATAAATATGTATAATATATGGGTACCGCATTATTATCTCTTTACTTGGACTGAAATATTGTATAAAAAATAAAAAATAATAAACCGATAGAAAAATCGTCCTGTTTATTCAATTTCTCGTCGTTTGTGCACCACGTATAGTGTATACCTATAGTATATTAGTATATATAACTACCTATAGTATGTGTACCTACATAATATTATAGTAGTGTCGTCGACCATTCACGTTTACATTGGTTATGCAATGGATTTATGATAATTTACGATACCATCGACTTATTTATACATGCGCACATATCCCGATCAACATGAATGACAGTCGTAATAGCACATAGCTGCAGCGCAGCGCAACACTCGCCACTCGCGGCTATCCGTAAATGAATCTCGGCCATTTTTCACTTTGTGGTTTTACACAATTTTACAATTATTATAAGTACCTATATGACAAATGGACGAATGCTGTTTTTTGAGGCCTGTGCCTCAATCTAAATAGATGAGTGGGTCGAGAGCGATCGGATGCTTAAGACTAAAGATCAGAAAATTTAAAGTAATACACTATAATAACTAATAAATTAGCTGGTATTACATTTAACTTAAAGTAAAATTTATAAAAGTGTAGAATATTATAGTATACTTTATCAGATACTTCTAAACATGACCTATGATATAAGCAACTATGAGTTATATTATGCTTATTGTAAGTTAACTGTTATAGCATATATTATATTTAGGTAATTGCCTGTATTTGTTGTGTGATATTTATATGAAATTACCTATTTGGCTCACATTCGGAACATTTTACAGTATAATATTTTTGGAAGCATTATAATAATGACGCTTTTAAAATATTTAAGTTATGAGCTATTTCTGTAATCTGAATCAGAAAGATTGAGAGTAATAAAGTATAAAAATAAGTATATATAAAGAAAAATAATTTATGTACTGTAACTCAAATGGTTACAATAAATTGAATTTATTTAAACTCCTCAAAACTATTTATTAATTACTATATATAATCATAATATGATAATTTCAGTAAAAATAAGTGTAAAAGAAATTATAATACGTAGGTATCTAAGTATAAAAAAATACTTGAGCATCACCCAAAAAGAAGTTCTACACCTCACTGCAACAAAAGTCTCATGCTCCTCTATGTAAGTAATAATCAACTGTTTTGAAAATGTATTATTATGAATAGAATAACCTATTTATTCGTTTAAAGTTTTAAAATTGGCAAGTCAATCTTTCAACCTGAAAATGTAAAATAAACGAATGATAAAAAAAAAATGGTTTTACTAATAAACATTTAGATTTTCGAAATTTTTGTTTTTTTGAATATAACATATGGCTCTTCTGTCAACGTTAAAGCTATTTGTGAATATTTTTTTGGTATATCTACGAATCATATACAAACTATATATTTTTGATTTTACAGACTTCGAGTATAATGTATACTATTGTAACAATAAACATGGAAAATTCGTGTGTTTATTCTACTGCAGTTAATTTAACTAAGTCGATGAAAAGCTAGATGACGCGTCATGTAGGTATGTATTTTTTTTTGTTTTTTTTAGTTTTATAACAATACATTCCGTTAAATAAAATTTTTGCAACAAGCACAATATTAATACTGTGTGTATATAATTTAATGTAAAATTAAATAATAAATTAAATTAAATTAGCTTAATTTTAAGAAATAGAGAGCTTGGTTAAAGGAGCAATACGGTTTTAATAGTCTAGATAGATGCTCAGATTTTTAATGTAAAAGTATAGAACGGTATGAGACATAAAGACCTTTAATCGTAATTTTTGTTTTTATTAAACTACGCAGCGCTTTGATTAAGAGAAGTTAGCAAAAAATGTATTTTTATTTAACTATGATTGAGTTTTGAAAATTGAATATCAATTTTTCTCGATGAGTTTAAAATAAATAATAATAATATATCTATATTATAATATGTAATTATTTTTAATGTAGTTTACCCCTGAGATGCAAGAGGAATCTTACAGAACATTTTATTAAAATACCATACATTCTTACAATTATTTTAAAACTATTGTACAGACACAAAGATACAACTTAAAAACAAAACATTCTATTTCATACAGAATGCTTGATCAGTAAGTGAACACTCTATAATTAATAACCATATAATTTTAACTAACATTTATTTTATTTGTTAGTAACTTCAGTGACGCATAAATTCTGATTATATGTACCTGTTCCGACTATACCAATATAAAATATAAAGTTTCCGACTCATTAATAATTATTATATTTTATTTTTGAGTACCTATATTCACATTATATATCAATTACTTATTTCAAACGACGAAAAGGTATAATTAAAAGTTACACAGTCCGTTAATGTATAATAATATGAAGTTAACTGATTTCATAATATATAAGCACATTAACTAAGTAGTTAAAAATTTAATTTTGTGATTTTTAAATTTAACTAGTTAGTTGATTTTCTAATTATTTATCTACTAACATGTTAGTAAAATAACGTATTATAAAATACTAATATTAAGTTTTTATATTCGTATGTGAAAACCGTGATAGGCGTATATTATATTGTAGTAAAACTAATATCTTTCAAAATTAATTATTACGTGGGATGATTCATTTAACGTAAAGGTATTACCTTAGTTTGATATTGGTCAATCGACAAACAATACCAATCCATAAAAAGGTCGGTAAATATCAATGAAAAGTATTTATCATAAAATCAATCGATGATGACGAATCAGTGTACCTATACTAGTTAAAAACGGTCATTATTACTTTAGAAAATGTTTTATTCAAATAACTTTAAGCCGCTATTAAACAATTTTTTTTACTATTTTGAACGACAACATATATTTTTAATTTAATATTCCAGAACAGAATATTATATGAATTATTTCTATCTATGAAAATCATATTGTTGACAAGTAGTTTATTAGTTATAACATATTATAATTATTTGAAGCTTAAATATAAATGAAACCAATATTTTTGGGGTAAATACCTCTGTTTAAAAATAAAATGAAAATATTATAAATCTGTTCCACTTATCATAACTTTAAAATTTGAAATTTAAAATACTTTCAACTCATAAGCAATTAGTTCAAAATTCGATATTTATTTATTGAAAGACTTCAAAATATATGCTGCTGTAAAATTCTAAAGATTAATAACAATAATGCTAATAATAAGTGTCTTATGTTAAATATAGATCACTCAGTATATTTTAATTTATGAACTTTTGAATTGTATTGTTGTTAATCATCAAGTACCTACGTATTATTCAAATATGCTCTAGAAAATCGTAAGACTAAAAAATCATAAAATATACACTAAATATTATTATAACATGTTTTTTAATATTTTTCTTGGACATTTTTTTCCTTAGTCTTCAAACTAATTTTTAGCTTACTTAGCAATAATAAATAGAATAGCCCACAAAAATCATGCCAACGTAACTATAATTTCCAAACGTTATATACAACGTATATAAAACAGCCATTTTCACATCTTGGATACTTATATTCACTATAAGTATATTATATTATAATACGTTTGGTTTCACATACAGCAGCTAGGAAAGTGCGCGCGCGTAGCACGCGGGTGTACAATATATAGGTAAATACATGCAAGGTACATAATATAATTGATAAGACATCTCCAGGTGTAACTGTGTATGCTTATAGAGGTATATATTATCATCACGTTGACGTTGGCGAACTACTTTCATATTATAATACGTATAATATACGAAATGCGCGTTTAACGACTCGTTTCCTGCTAGGCGGACGCATATATATATATATTTGTGTGTGTATCGTTTTTAAGTGTAATTAGTGGTGATGCGCGTCGATTCGTAATCGGAGTGACTGCTGCCGAGTATATGTACAGGGTAATTCATCAAGCATGCACCCATTCGCTCCTTTTATAATGAATTGGTTTTTAACCTGTTGAAATGTGTATAGTAAGGATAATAGGATAATAGTCTTTAAAAATGGTTTTATAAAAATATAAAATAAATATAACATTAGATCTAGCATTTATTATACTTAAATCATTTTTAAAAGTAATACATTTTGATAGATCATTATAAATTATTTATTTTATTATGGAAATTACATCATTGTTATACATACACAAATAGTTAAAATAGCTCGAAAAATACTCGTCTGAATTTTGATATTTTAAAGAAAATTAACCGTCTAAATCATAGTAAAAAAAGGGGTTCATATTTGAAAGACAGATGTGAGTCTTTCTATAAAATCCTTCTTTAATGGTACGAAAATCTCAAAAATTTAAAAATTTAGTCTTTAAGTACCTTTACTTAAAAATTTCATTCTATTATAGAAGAGAAATGGGTTGAGCATGCTTGGTACGTATCACCCTGTATATAAGTACACATTTAATAAACCTATACAATCATGTGTATGTGTGTGTGCGTAGGTATATACTTGATTTTACGTCATGTTCATTTCGTGCAAACAATGTTATAAGCTTTCCGACGATTTGTACGACCAGACATATTATGCGTTTATATATATGTTATGCACATGCGATTTCAAACGCTGCGAACGACCGTAAACGCAGATAATATTATTATAAATAGTATATATTATATTGTGATGTAGGTGCTCACCTGCTGCAGCGGCACAAAGTATACAAACCGAATCCGGAATCGCGTGTGTTTTAATAAGAGCCGTGACGACCCGTCCGTCGGAGGAAAACGGTAATTTCTTCTAACGTACGAATCCGGTGTATTAAAAATGTATTCCAACTGAAATACTGTAGAACTAGATTCTATGCTGCTTACTATACAATATAATACTAGAAATGTTTATGTTTAAGGTATATTCACATTTTTATTAAGTATTTGTGTTCCAAATATTATTAGGTTTAAGAAAAATAATAATGACAAAAAATAGTTTCTGTGATACAATTGATTTTCCAATGACTTATTATAATAATGAACAAAAGATAACATTAAATATAGCTAAAAAATTAAAGCCAAATTAGAAGTCAATTTTTGAAAGTTACACAGTCACTATACTATATAAAACTATTGCCTACTTAAAATCATGAATAACTTGATTTTTTAGTTATTTTTAAATTGTTCATCAATAAAAATATTTCCATAAATTTAAAAGGCTTAATAATTTAAAGCACTGTTCTGTTCTTTTAAATTTTTAATATAATAGGAGTAATTAAGATATATAAAGGTATGATTATTAATTAATTCAAATTCTTTCGATATTTCTCTTTCTCTCAATCAACCAATGCAAATTCATTAAGTGGCCAAAAATATGTTTTTTCAAAACTTTCGTATAATCAAAATTTAAATTTTTCATCAATCGCACACAATAATATTTTCTAAGCATTTAGATGCATTTTTAGGGATAATCATAGGTCCATAGCCTACATATCTCAAACCTATGGTGTGTTCCGCGTCATAATAAAAAAAATTTTCGAATTGTAAAATTTATTTTTTATTTTGTTATAATTCAAAAATGAATAACTGTAGATATTTGAAAAGTCAAAAAGTTTGAAAGTTTAATTCAATGTTTCTTATAAGTTTTTATTAACGTAACCCAACCTGACAAACCGTCTCGTTTTGAAATTTTTTTGTATATAATGATTTATGAGTAAATTATAATTTAACCAATCTATTTCAGTAACCTATTCAATGACAAGTTAAACTCGACTTAACTATCTTCTATTGTACAGTAAAGCAGTTATCTGTGTTTTCCCTTTATTTCATTAAATGTTCCGTTTTTGGTTACAGTAAGTGAAACTATCTGATAGTTAACTTTAATTTACCAATAAATTTCTTATGTGTTTTAAATTTATTAATAAATATTAAAGTTCTATAGAAAATTTTGTCATTTAAATAATTTAGTACATCATTGATGGTTAGGCCGTTTTAAATTATAACTCAAGGTAGTTTTACTTCTCATGTTGGTCTATCTCACTGCATTGGCAACGATATTTTTCGCAATGAAATTAATTTTTCTTGTAGAGGGTGGTAGATATAACATACAAATTTCAATCAAATAAATAGAATTAAAACTCAATAATGTACTATTAAAATAAAAGAATTTGTACCGGTACGAAAAAATACTTGACAACACTAATACTAATTGCACATTGCAATCAGAGTTTGAAAAAATCATAAAAAAATTAAAATTTGATTTTGAAAATCTATATTATTTTAAATTATATCCAAAACCGGTTAGCATGTGCAATATACTTCTTAACTGTTGAGACCTAGTTATTTATTCAATTAATTTTATATTGTGTACAAAATCTTAGCAGTGTAGGTCCCGATGTAGATACGCTAGACGCTACAGTGCGTAATCTCGCGATAACACCTATTATAAATTATCATAATATATTAATTATTAGTAGAGAACTCAAACGATGATCGTAGGTGTGTTATTAATTAAAAAAAAATAAAAATACGTTTGTACCTTGTTTTATAATAACACAGTATATGTAATATGTGTAAAACTATTATTATTATTTTTTATTCTTAAATAATATACATGATTTCAACAGTACTGCGGCAGTGAAGCAAGGGACGACCGGTAACCGAGTATGCGGTAGGGGGAATGCAGGGGGATGCATTTCTTTTACGTTATTATATAATGGCCCATCGTCGTTCGTAGACTTGAATCAGCTCTTACGGTAAAACGCATGCACGCACGCATACACATACACACTCACACACACAAATACATACTGGAGGATATTATAAGTTTCCAATGGGCAGACACGCCGCGCAACCGAGCAAAACGGAAAAGCTGCTGCACAAGGAACACACACGAGCGCGCCATGCCGTATTTATAATATTTATCGAAGAGGCGGTGCAGGTGGTAGTTGTGGAGGTGGACCGAACCACCTATGTATTAATATACCTATATAAAATTATATTGGATAGAGACCGCCGGTTGCTTCTAGGCTATATAATATTATACAGGGTGATTCGCCCCAATCATGTCAACCCAATTTTGTTGTTGAATTTAATGATAAATGTAATTCAATTATTATTTTGTAATTTTTTAAGCAGTCTGAGGTACTTATGAGGATTATGTATACAATTGTTTAGATTTTTGTAATTAGTTGTATGAGTAAGAAGTGTCCTGTGGTGGTAAAAATCTATTTTTTTTAACAAGAACCGTTTTTATTCTCTGTATAAATTGTTAAAAAGATAAGATTTCCAAAAATGTCTATACGTATATCTAAATGAGTACTTAAAGTTCCAG